CACCTAAGATAGTGGGTAGGCTATGGGAGCCACTGCAGCCTTGTGTAACTTGGCGGTGACGACCTCGCCCACACACCATTTGCGCCCCATAATGCCTCAACTCGCTTGTGCTTGGGCTTCCTGTCACCAACTCCCGTTCCCGCATGGTGGCTAAATGCCAAAAGAAAAACTGCACAAGCGGAAGCCGAAGTTCCTGGGCTGGCCAAGATAATAAGAGTCTCGGTGTCCCTGACGAAGTTGAAGAGTTCCGTCAGATCCCGTAAGTTGTCGGTGTCCAAGAAAACATTGAAGGCAGAGCCCCGCTGTTGCAGCTGGATCTTCAGAAGTCGCGCAAAGCTGCCGACTGCACGCTTGTGATGGGAGATGAAGAAGCGCCAGGGCTTCCGATTCTGGCGGACGAGGTACAGGCCGAATCCGTAGAGGATAGCGACGGCAACTGCCACTACCATCATCACGAGGAAGAACAAGGAGATGGCAGTTGCCTGAACCAGGCTGGCGCCGTCAACGTCGTGGCCGGCAAAGAGGGATGCCATGTAGAGCACCACCTGCGATGCAAGCCCATCCCTGAACCTCGAAGCCTCAAACCTTCTCTGGGCTCCCGCCAGATCTCTATAAAACGCCCGTGACATGAGGGCCCCGAAACCTGAAGGCTTGAACTCTGTGAGCATTCTGAGACGCGGGGCGACAGATGCAGCCCAGGTACAAGCAAACCCACGTGAAGCAGTGTGTCCAACACGTTGCTTGCGGGAACTCGCCAGGGTTGGCTCACGGTCATCGCGATTAAGCTCACGTAGAGGAGCATGTTGAGCACTACCAGCTTCACTGAAACCGAGGGAAGCAACGGGCACAGCACCATCAGCGCGTTTCCTCTGATGTTCCGACATGAGCTTTTCATAACATACAGTAATCCCGTTGGTGATTCGATTCTCGCCGGGCAGCTCACTTGCATGAAGATGACGAAACGCTCCCCTCCGGGACGAAAGCGCAGCCAAAGGAATGAGCATGCCCGGCAGTAGGTGGCATCGGCCCGAAGCAGCCTTTTGGGAAGCTCCAGGTGGATGATCCAAATGCACACAGCCAGAAAGGATAGTGGCATCAAGCATGCCACTGCGCCGATCACGAACATCTGCAGGTGTGCATCACGCAGATTGCAGAAGACTGAGGCATACTGCTGGATGGTCCTCGGCTGTAAGCTATGTCTGGACACTTCGCTTCTGGCTGCCAGGTGTGAAACCTTCTCAGCTCCTCTCGGGATTCTCTTCTGGCTATATCTGCAAACGCTAAAGTCCCTAAGCTCCTTAAACCCTGAGCCCTTTTGAGAAGCCCCAGGCTCATTCGGCCGTTTGGGTGGGAGTTGCACTGAAAGGGCGTGACCAAGGCCGTGAAGATTCCGATGAAGAGCAGCGACACCAGGGAGCCCACCGTCCGCAGGAGCTGGCTCGCATCCAGCCTCACCTCTGGGCTTCAAAAGGAGCAAAGGGTGCCTGCGTTTGGGGGGTTCCTTAGAAACAGCGTC